ATTTATCATGATAGACTAAAGACGAAATGTTAGATGTAAATTGTGAGTTGTCACTTTTGTTACAGCTCTAGTGTTAAAAGTACACAAAAATACGTTTTTAAGGCAATAAAAACATGATATTTGAATAATACTTTTTTTCCTAATACTAAAATATGGTCGCGCGCAGTGATGGCTGGCTCATCCGTCATACTCGTGAACGAGTGCTGCTTATAGGGACTGGTTTGCTCTAATCACTATAACTGATTTCCTCTTATTAATTGTTTAACCAGTTGGTTATATATTCAATATTTTTTCTATTTGATTATTTAATCGAATTAGTGCTAATCGGTAGTTTGTATTCACACACTTACTTAAATTGTAAAGTAAGAATAAAATTATTAAAAAGAGCAACACACAAGTTTCTTGCTCGTTCTTCTTGTGATGAGAGAGCTTTCCGAATGAGCGGTAGATTAAAAAAAATGTGATGACTATTCGAAAGTGCTTCAATGTAAGTTTATTTGAATAAATGATTTTCTATTCTATTCTATTCTATTCTATTCTATGCTCCGGAAGTAAAGCAATGTGCTAAACTGTTACAGCAACGAGGTCGTCGAAGAAACAATTTGGTCAAAGAATACACAAATTTATATTAAAAATGTTCAGTTTCATAACTTTTAATTTTATTACATTAACTTTTTTACCTATTCCCATAATCCATCACGTATCCTTTTTTAAATTAAACAAACATTCGTTCATTCCTCGATAACCCGTATATAACACGCCTTGAATTCCCGAAAGGGAAACTTTCACGTTTACACATTCAGATCGAGGTTTGATTTGGGTGTTCATTACTCATGTTATGAGGATTTCAGGGGCCCACGACGTAGGTAGCTATGTTGGCGAAATCCGTTTAATCCAGACCCCGTTTACGACACTATAAACAATATGGCTTTAGAAATAAATCCACCATTTGCCAGTTTTTCTTTATGGATGCATAACGCTTTATCGTTGGATAATATTTTAAATTCAAACATTTGTTTACATCCTTTAGAATAGAATAGAATAGAAAATCATTTATTCAAATAAACTTAATTTAAGCACTTTTGAATAGTCATAACAATTTGTTTTTTATCTACCACTCGTTCGGAAAGCTGTCTCATCACAAGAAGAACGAGCAAGAAACTTGTGTGTTGCTCTTTTAAATAATCCTTGTAAGTTTACATTTACAAGTCGAAACGTGTGAATACAAACTACCAACCAGCACTAGTTTTTGGGTCAAATATAAATATGCAATAAGATTAAATCAGTCGTAGTGATAAGAGCAGACCAGTCCCTACAAGCAGCACTCGTTCACGAGTATGACGGATGAGCCAGCCATCACTGCGCTCGACCATATTTTAGGGAGCCCAATGACCCGGCCCACCACGCCGCCACATGTCTGGACATTTTAGTGAGCATGACTACTCATTCCACACGACCACGTCACAGCTACAAAAATTACTATATGGTAGTTACAGTATTCGCACTTTACATTCGGATGCATGCGGCAATCAATATAAAAGCCGCTACGCTATCATATATCAAGAAAGCAGTATGAAAATTAAAATTATAACGTTGTCCGCAAATAAACTTATTCTTGCTATATATTGCTATCATCTATAAATTCATCTATTTTATAATAGGCTTTTTTACATAACATTTGTTTACATTCTTTTATAATCGCCTTCGCCAAAAGGTCTTATCACTATATGAAATCTCTTATAGACAAACTTGTTAATATATATATTCCTAATTCTAATATTAGTATATATATTAACAAGGTTGTCTGTAAGAAATTTCTTATAGCGATAAGACCGCCTTTTGAAGGCGATTGTTAGTAAAGAAGACTAAGGACCGCATTGCTAGCTTCTTCTCAATTGGATCTATATACTGAACTGGACGGTATAGATATAAATATATTATAAATATATAATATATAGTATCAATATAAATATATAGAATTTCCTCTTATTAATTGTTTAACAGTTGGTTATATATTCAATATTATTTCTATTTGATATTTAATAGAATTAGTGCTAATTGGTGGTTTGTATTCACACACTTAAACTTAAAAATGTAAAGTAATAATAAAATTAATTAAAAGAGCAACACGCAAGTTTCTTGCTCGTTCTTCTTGTGATGAGACAGCTTTCCGAACGAGCGGTAGATTAAAAAAAAAATGTAATGACTATTCAAAAGCGCTTCAATGTAAGTTTATTTGAATAAATGATTTTCTATTCTATTCTATTCTATTCTATATTTTTTTTTACCGACCAGTTAAATAGGTAGGTAGAAAAAAAATATAATATAAAAGATTTGACGTTCATACGTCAAATTTTTTATATTATAATTTTTCGCTACCATCCAGTTCAGTATATAGATCCAATTGAGAAGGACTGGCAAGAAACTCAATTGAATATTTCTTTTAAAAGCCAGTTTAGCGGCTAGCGGCTAAAATGTCCTACATGAATAAATTATTTTTGAATTTGAATTGAATAAGTTTAGAAAACTTTTATAACAATAAAAAAACACATACTCATGAATACAAATGTTGTTACCGTGCCATGTGAGGAATCAAACCTGAGAGCATCGGGCGTAAAGCAGTGTGCTAAAGCGCTAGTCCAGCGAGACCGTTATCACGTTGGACTATCATCATACAGCATCAAAACTACAGCACAATTTTAGAAACCTTCAAGAATTCAGTTTAAAAAGATAATTACGCGATGAATTTGCATATACAATGCTTCTAGTCTCATATCCCACGTGGCAGGGGCGGATCTACCTAAGGGCAGCAGTCCAGGGCCCCGATGACACAAAGGGTTCACTGAAACCAAATTTAGAAAATAAAAAAATATCTAGAATGTTAAAAAACTTATCATAAGGTTGGCAACCCTGAGATCAATCAACCCTTGCTTCTTTCTTTCTGGTCGCTTGTTTTTTATTATATTTATTTATTTAAATCAGGTAGCTAATGGTCCATATTATAAATACCTTACAGACTAACATACATATGAATAATATAATTATAAAAAAAGAAATATAAATTGTCTGTGTCATCACGGCACTGATGATGGTACTGCCACGGTAGCGCCGATACACCATACCCTTCGGCCAGTAGTCCTCCTTCATGAAGGTGGCCAGTATGTTGGTGGGAACACGGGCCACAAACGTTTTGAAACTAGCGTTTTGACACGATTTCAGCTGCATCACCCTCAATGTTAGGTTACTCCTGGTAAATAGTCGCCAATGTCCTGCGTAGTGTAAGCGGGACTGGTACATTGACGTGGTCGGTGTAGCAGCACGCAATAGGAAATCTGGTTTTTGATCGGTGTATTTTTAGTTGAATATTTTTATCATTAAGCCCCTAAGTAGATTTAGCCCAGGGCCCCACAAATTCACGATCCGCCCCTGCCACGTGTAGTTTTTTAAGCCCCTAAGTAGATTTAGCCCAGGGCCCTACAAATTCACGATCCGCCCCTGCCACGTGTAGTTTTTTAAGCCCCTAAGTAGATTTAGCCCAGGGCCCCAAAAATTCACGATCCGCCCCTGCCACGTGGAGTTCATTAGACCTCTAAGTAGATTTAGCCCAGGGCCCCAAAAATTCACGATCCGCCCCTGCCACGTGTAGTTCATTAGGCCCTTAAGTAGATTCAGCCCAGGGCCCCAAAATTCACGATCCGCCCCTGCCACGTGTAGTTCATTAGACCTCTAAGTAGATTTAGCCCAGGGCCCCAAAAATTCACGCTCCGCCCCTGCCACGTGGAGTCATATCAAATGACGATCTAACCTAACAAATGCTAATATAAACCAAAGAAGAGTATCTTCACAAACTCGGAAGCTTAAAATAAAGTATTATGGGTCGCTATAATATTTTATTGGTATGTTTATTCACGGTACATTAAACTTTAACTGCATCGTACTAGCCATTATTAGAAACTGGAAATGTAATAAACAATTCTTCCATACAATTTACTACATCGATAGCAATAAGGGGTCATCAACGTCTGTATTTGTCTATATCATATGAATCTATTTTATTCATACTTTCATACTAATGTATAATTAAACCAATATTTATTTTAAAGAGCAACACACAAGTTTCTTGCTCGTTCTTCTTATGATGAGTCTGCCTTCCGAATGAGCGGTAGAACCTAAAAACTTGACTATTCAAAAGTACTTATATTATGTTTATTTCAATAAAGAATATTTCTATTTCTATCCCTATCCCTATCCCTATCCCTATCCCTGTCCATATATCTATCCCTATTTCTATTCCTATAGCAGTTTAGCAGATCTACACATCGCTTTACTACGCATTTAATTTTGCACGGTACAAACTATTGTATTTTGGGTGGAAGGGGATTGTTAGTAATGGGATTATTAGTATTGCATGTCAGAAACGACTAATGTGTAGAACTAATATATATGTTAATTATTTTATTTATTTTTTTATTTATTTAACTTTACTGCACAAAAACAATGTGTACATATGGCGGACTTAACACCATGCGGCGTTATCTACCAGGCAACCATGAGTGGTGCAGAGAAATATTGTTGGCGGTGCACTAATATAGATGAGAAATGTCAAAAAAAAGATATATATAAATATAAAGCAAAATATTTTAAATATAAATTTCAATAAAAATTAATAATAATAATAAACATACATAATGATCTGATAATCAAATCATAAGTACAGCCTCAAATTGAAAGTAAGAAAAAAATATATAGATATAGATCTATAGGGAAATAACAGAAAGATATGTAAAAGGTAGAAAGACAGTAAAAAAGTTACAAATTTAAATAATGTTCCCGCAATTTCAGTTTAAACGAAATTTTACTAGTTAATTATGTGAAAACCTGAAATTTCATTTCATTTCATCAAATTTGGTTATTTTTAAATATGCCTCCAATGCTATTCCTGAACTATTAAGATACGTTTGAATCAAGTCGTTTATATAGAAATGTATCTCTTGTTACAGGTATAAAAGCTCAGTCAATCATCTCATAAGCAATGCCCAGAACAAAGAGAAGACACCACAAGAAGTACAAGGTGCGATGAATCATACGACATGAACCGACGCTAGCATCATGCTTGAAGACGGTAGCAGGGAGCTGTCCAAGCGAGCCTACTGCAAGACTGAGATAGGCTTCGTTGAAGAACCGAAATGCTGCTTTCAAACCAAAAGAGGCATCGACGACACTAGACTTTTCTGCTGTCGCTGCGTCCATAAACGACGAGCATCCCCTTTAACCTGTCTAGCAATTTGCTTTCTCGTTCTTACCTACAACCTCCTTGGTGGGTTTCTCTTCCTGGCAATAGAAGGGAACACAGTCACAGAAGAAACTGCAGTAGCTGCATCGAAGCCTAATCTTAGTCAGTCTCAGAGTTCAAGTAATGATTTGCGTTCAAAAACTGTAGAGAGACTTTGGTCTATAACAGAAGATTTGAATATTCTGTATAAAGAGAACTGGACAAAGCTAGCAGCTAAAGAGTTGATGGATTTCCAGAAAGTGCTAATTAAAACGATTAGAAGGGGTGCAGTACTTGAAAACAGAGTAACGTTTGATCACGCCGGAGACTACAGGTGGACGTTTTCTAGTAGCTTCCTCTATGCCCTGACGCTCATTACAACTATAGGTAAGTTTAAGAAAAAGAAAGAATAAGGAAAGAAAATTGTTTATTTGGTACACTGAAAATAATTTTTAAATTTTAATTTACATTAATAATTACAGTACCAAATAGGTCTCCGCTCAGCATATGTCGTGACGGGGTGCCACGACGCTGATTTTCAGCGGATACCTTCATATATAATAAAATAATAATAATAATAATACACATACATACAGTTTTACTATATTACGCTACAATATCCTAAACCATTAACAATGATGTATCTACCGAAAGTCAGAATTAAAACATATATGCTATGTCTCATTAAAACCAGTCTAATAGTTCTTGGGCAAAATCTAATCTAAAACCTGTGGCTATGATTAGTATAACTCCTTAGCTGCAGAATGTGGTAGATGACATATAGTATGTTATTGGAGATGAAACAGTAAATTAAGATGATGATATTGTATCTATTGGTCTTAATTTTTCCATTATTGAAATAATAGTAACAAAGAAAAAATAATAGTTACATCAAGAAATTTATATAGTTATATCTATTGCATATAATATGTTTTGATATACTTTAATGTAAATATTTTGACAGACTCATTCTGTCAAAATCAATACATATAAATAAAATTGAAGTGTCTGTTTGTAATATTGAATAAACCGTTTTTTACTACATGCATATGAATATAAATACGGTACATACACTAAAATAATATTTTTTACAATATTTGTCTGTCTGTCTGTTTGTTTCGGCTAATCTCTGAAATGGCTGGACCGATTTTGACGGGACTTTTATTGGCAGGTAGCTGATGTAATAAGGAGTAACTTAGGCTACTTTTATTTTAGAAAAATAAAGTTAAATTCCACGAGGACCAAGTCGCGGGAACAGGTTAATAAAAATAGTAGACTGTCAGAAGGTTTATTAAAACAATTTGTTTCAGGTCATGGAAACGTCACGCCGCAGTCATCGGTGGGCAAGATAGTGGCAGTCGTGTACGCGTGCATCGGCATACCAATTATCATGCTGTACCTTTCAACTATTGGAGAAACACTCGCAAGGAACTTCAGAGTCCTCTACTCCAAGATTTGTCCTTCAACTTTGAAAAATGGGAATTTCCACTCCAAAGCCGATTGCTTGAGCAGATATGCATTGCCTGGTGTCGAATGCAAGCAGTACAATGACTGTGATAAAAAAGATAAGTACTGCGAGAGGCAGCGGCGCACGCCGTTCCAAGCAGCTCTGAATCTGGACAGTTTTAGTGGAGGTTACCATTGGACGTGTAGGGACCATACGCGAGTGCCAATTATCCTAAGTTTATTCCTTATCATATTATATATCGCACTAGGTACTATTGTGTTTCATACCACGGAAAAGTGGAGCTATATAGACGGTTACTACTTCTCCTTTTCGAGCCTCGCGACGATCGGCTTTGGTGATCTCAAACCTGGACACTACGCAAGCACCGTATCAGCTAAAGCGGAGGATATAGCAATCGGGGTGTGTTGTATATATATATTAGTGGGTATTGTTATCATTGCTATGTGTTTCAATTTAATACAAGAAGACATGAGCTCAGCTCTAAGAAACTTTACTGCGCTTTGTACAGGTGGCTCTAAGTCTCGCGCTGTGCACAGTGTAGAGAAGATCTGCGACGATAAGATATCCATGTCGGTTGTGTCCTGACATCGAGAAACGGCCGACACCGGGCCGTCAGTTGCATTCGCTAACTGCCAAGAGAAACGTCAGCAGGTTACGTTCAAGATCGACAGTTTAAACCCAACAAAGTTCAATAGTTTACCGAGGCGCAAGTCTTCGAATTATGGGGAGGAGAGCTTCCAAAGGAATACCCCGGTGCGTCGGTCGGCTGGTCACGCCGAGAAGTGTATAGAGTATTTTGTTCCGAGGAGTTTGAGCGAATTTAACTTGAGTGGAGTTGGCGGTGAATTGTGTGATTTGTCGACTTTTGGGGACAGGGGGAAGGCTCAGGAGAGTAAGGGACAAAGTGTGGGGGGGAGTAAGGGTCGTGATAAGATGGTGACGTTTGAGGACGACCGGCCTCAGGGCAAGGCACTGGCCGACGACGTCTTCATGTGACAACGACGCTCGGTACATGTAGATATAGGTTTGTTGGTCTGGACACACTTTGTTACACAATAAATATGATTTTTTACATTATGTTGTTAATTATTTAATTTGATATGATCGCCTGAGGCTTTACCCTAATCATTCTGTACATGTGTCTTCAAGAAGATGTTGAGCTTCATAGATATAATTATTTTAAATGAGAAAGATGCAGGAATTTCTGATCTATTATAGTAAGAAAAAGTCACATTCATATTTGGACTAATATCATAAGAAAGTAAGTATGGATTTTTTTGTAATGTAGAATTTTAAGAAAATGCTCACCCGCATCTAAAATCCGAGTAACATAGACTGAATTTTGCTCTAAAACTGTATAGTGATCCCTGCCTAATGCACCCATCGAAATTATTTAAAAGAGCAACACGCAAGTTTCTTGCTCGTTCTTCTTGTGATGAGACAGCTTACCGAATGAGCAGTAGATTAAAAAAAAATATTGACTATTCAAAAGTGCTAAATTAAGTTTATGTGAATAAACGATTTTCTATTCTATTCTATTTTATTCTTGCTCGTTCTTCTTGTGATGAGATCTTACCGAATGAGTGGTAGATTAAAAAAATGTGATGACTATTCAAAAGTGCTTCGATGTAAGTTTATTTGAATAAATGATTTTCTATTCAATTCTATTTTAGTCCAATTGATTTTAATTTGTTCAAACAAACACACAACACAGAGTAGGGTGTATATTCAGATGAAACCCCAATGCAATGCATTAAACTGTGACTCGATAACACAATCACGTATTGATTTATAGTTCAATGCTTGGCTGAGATTACGTTTAGTTGGTTTTAGTCATTACCATGATTCAGTTAACGGCAAATCTAGTTTACTATTATATACATTGTGATTAATTTGAACAATGATAGAAATTGGTATTAATGGTTGACGGCCCCGGTGGTGTACCGGTTTAGCACACCGCCTTATCTACGATGGACGCAGGTTCGATTCCAAGCTCGGTAAAAATATTTGTACTCATGAATGTGACGTTTAACGGCATTAGTGGTCTAGCGGTTTAACACGCCGCCTAACCTCCGATAGTCGCAGGTTCGATTCTTCGCACGGTACAAATATTTGTATTCATGAGTATGAGGTATTGGTTAACGGCATTGCTAGTCCAGCGGTTTAGGACACTGTCTTACCTCCGATGGTTGCGAGTTCGATTCCTCGCACGGGACAAATATTTGTATTCATGAGTATGATAGTTTGGATTGATCTGTTTGTTTTCTATAGATATATATTTCATGGATGATAATGCAATGGACCACCCCCCTGCGTTAACGGTTTACGCTGGCGGGGCACCAGAGAAGGATGCTAAGATGAATATGAGGTCAGGTCAGTTAGCCCATCCTGACAAATTAACCAGGAATTTATCACGATGATTTCCAGGAGGAACCGCGTGGAGGTCAACCTGACATGACACATTAGCGCTGTCGCTGTCTATCCGTCCTTATGTATGCTTAAATCTTTAAAACTACGCAACGGATTTTGAAGCGATTTTTTTAATAGAGTGATTCAAGAGGAAGGTTTATATGTATAATACATGTACACCCGGGCAAAGCCGAGGCGAGTGGTTAGTAATTAATAAAATTTGATTAACTCTGCAAAAACAAATCTAAAAATAAATACAAAACATCGTCTTCGAGAAATAAGTTGTACAACAAAGCTACTTAAATCAGAGAAGCAATTACGTACTCGCAAAACTATTCGTGCAATTACAAAAGTCTTTATTAATTAAAACTTCGAGGTACGAGGGATATTTTTAATCCAACAATGATCCAAAGTTTAAGCACTGTATTAACAACTTCGGGGCAGTTTTGAAGAAAAATGTAGACAACAATATTTTTATTGCTGGCAATCTGTACGAGAATCTAATTATTTATCTGTGATTTAACATTACGAATTCACACCCAACTAAATAATAAAGAAATAAAAATAGAAAGAATCTTTTTTCAAATAAACTTATAATAATAATAATAAATAATAATTCCTCTCCTTAAGAGGGGAGATGAGAATTTTTGGATAAAAATAGTAATAATAATAATCTCAGGACAATTCACACAGCGCCATCTAGACCCAAGTTAAGCTATCTAAAGCTTGTGTTATGGGTACTAGACAACTGATACAAATACATAGATATTTTTTCGTAAATACATACATATTATACATAGAAAACACCCAGACCGATACAAACAATCATACTCATGAATACAAATGTTTGTGCCGTGCGAGGAATCGAACCCGCGACCATCGGTAGTAAGGGGGTGTGCTAAACCGCTAGACCACCGAGGCCGTCTACATATAAAATTACTAGCTGTTTTTTTGCCATAAACGTTGCAAACGACGTTGTATTGCCATATAAATTAAAATCGCTATTAAAAAATTGGGCTTCATGCTAGAAGGGTGAAAATTTAGGGTTGTATGTATTTTTAATGCCACATTATAAAAATTGTTCTAAAAATATTAAAATAATGTTAGGGGTGAACTACCCTTATGACTTAGGGGTATGAAAAATAGATAGTAGTCGATTCTCAAACCTACTGAATATGCATATAAAATTTCATAAAAATCGGTCAAGCCGTTTCGGAGGAGTATGGTAACTAACATTGTGACACGAGAATTTTATATATAAGACAAGCAGTTTTACCTATACGGAAAACTAATTATTTATCTGTAATTTAGCATTACTAATTCACGCTCAACTCAATAATAAAGAAATAATCCTTATTCAAGTAAAGTTATTACAAGCACTTTTGAATAGTCATATTTTCGATTTCATTCGGAATGCAGATTCAGCACAAGAAGAATGAGCAAGAAATTTGTGTGTTGCTCTTTTGAATAGATTTATTTTTATATAAATAATTACAGGTTCCAAATTTGAAATGTAAGTAGTTTGTGAGTATGGATTATTGGGAAGTTTCAGAAATTATACGTCGATGCAGCAGTACTTTTATTTTATTCTTTTTTCAAATTACACTCCACATAAATTGCGTCGCTGTACATTCACGTGTGGTCGTCTCGGTCGCCTCGAACAGAGTGAGAGCAGCCCGCTCCCTCCTTGTTCCCGGCCTCTTTATATCTACTACTATTGGTGGCGGCATAATCGTGACGTCATCAACATCACGTGACTCGCTATCGTTTTAAATTTGAAATGTAAGTAACAAATTGGTCAACTGAGTGTTCTTTATGTATTGATGCTAACAATTATATTTTTAACAGTTTTCCTTAACTGCAGCTAGCCAAACTGGATAGGGTAGAGAGATAGGGATAGTTATAAAATCATCTCGAAATCATTCCGAACTGACGGTAGATTTGACATATCATTAAAGTCTTTAATAGACCTACATGAAAAAAGATATTTTGAACGTTGAATTGAATTTGAAAGGATATGAATAACTTATTATAATTTGACTTCAAGAAGGGTATATTAAGGTTTCTTAAGGGTCGGCAACGCGCACGTGACACTTCTGGTGTTTCATATGACATTAAAGTCTGTAATAGACCTACATGAAAAAAGATATTTTGAACGTTGAATTGAATTTGAAAGGATATGAATCCATAGACACTTCTGGTGTTTCATGCGTCCATAGGCTAAGGTAACCATTTACCATCAGATGGGCCGTATGCTTGCTTACCACCATAGTAGTATAAAATAAAACAGCCTTTTAAGTCAAATTTATTAATCATAAAGTTTTAAAAGGGTATTTTCTATGTATGTGTGTATTCACAAAAAAAAATATCTATGTATTTGTATTAGTCATCTAGTATCCATAACACAAGCTTCAGCTAGCTCAACTTAGGACTAGATGGCGCTGTGTAAATTGTCCTGAGATTATTATTATTATTTCCAAAAACACTAAATCAGAAACTAAATTAAAAAATCGATTTTTGTTTTAAATTAAACGATTTATAAAGTTAATAAGTGCTCTGCTAATTGCTTTGTGATACGTTAAGATAAAGTTCATGAACTCGGTTAACAAGTTTAATCTACGTAGGAATACTATGTACTTATTCCTTTCATTATTTGCTTTACGTATCAAACTTCTGTAAAATCATGGATAAACAAAATATACGATATTACTAACTTTAGATGCGCGAAGCAATGTGCATATATATATATGTACTTTAAACAGTGACTGCAAAGTTGTGTAGTAGATATCTGCACATAGTATACTAATTATTTAAATAAATAGTCGAGTAATTTCTAGAGTATTTAGACTTATTTACTCTATTTGTTTCATTAAGTTCCAAACTTACAATATCATTGGTTGTTTCAATAAATTCTTAATTTTTTTATTTTATTTAATTAATATTGTAAGCGTATAGCGTGCACACAGAATTTGGAATCAAAACTTCTTCCTATATCGATTTCCTCTTACGTTCGTTATGTATAGAATAAAAGAATAAAGTAGAAAATACACTAACCGGGGAGCCGCGTGGAGGTCAACCTGACATGGAACATTCTAGTAATGCGGGAATGAGTCCACATTACTAACAATCCCCTCTATATATATATATATATATATGTATTTTTTCTTTATGGGTGATTATGGAATGGTGCACCCGCCTGCACAAACGGTTTACGCTGGCGGGGCACCAGTGGAGGATGATAAGGTGACTATGAGGTCAGGTCAGTTAGCCCATCGTGACAAAAACACGAAGAATTTAGCACGATGATTTCCAGGGGGAACCGCGTGGAGGTCAACCTGACATGGTACATTGCTAGTAATAGGGTCATGAGTCCACATTACTAACAACCCCATCTCCTTCCTATATATATTATGTATGCTATTAAAAAAAAGTGTTCAAGTATAGCTATCAGTGGTCTGGGATACATAACACAGGCTCTGCTTAGATTGGGATTAGATGGCTGTTGTTAATAGAATAGAATAGAATAGAATAGAATAAAAAATAAATTATTCAAATAAACTTAATTTAAGCACTTTTGAATAGTCATAACAATTTTTTTAATCTACCGCTCATTCGGAAAGCTA